GAGGGGGCGGCTCCCGGGGCCAAGCCCCTGCCCAGCGGGCGCCCCACGCCGCGGGAGGCTGAGGGGGCTGCTGAAGAAAAATCAGCCGAGGGGGCCTGGCGCGGCGGCGGGGATCCTGGCAGTGCCCGCGGAAACCTTTCCAGAGAAGTAACATTTTCCAGCTGCGCTGTGTGCAAACCCCGGGCGTAGCGGACCAGGTGGAGGGCGAGGAGGGAGGGCGGGCTGCGCACGGAGCACGCGGGGCTCTCCCCCCGACACACACCACGCCGGGGCCTTCCGTCGCGCCCCTGCCCCGCTGGGTAGGAGAGGATCCCTGCGCCCAGTGGCCTGCCCGCTCCCTTGGTCAACCTGGCCCCAGCAATCGCTTAGCAGCCCCAGTGTGACTGGACCACAGAGCTGGTGGGGGCTCCTGGTTCGTGATGTGGCTCCAGAGTCCGACAACAGACTACAGGTGGCCGGTTTATGTCAGGCAGCTGCTCCCCCCCCCCCACTTTTGTGGCCTGTAAGGAGGGGCTGCTTCCCCTCCTCTGCCTCAGCTTCTGGTCTTGAGCAGGCAGTGGCTTGAGAACTGGCCTATCTCAGGTGAGTTAGGGGCTCTGCCTGGGGTGCTAGCTGAATTTGAACTCTAGCTGCATTTGAGAGGTACTGTAGAAGGAGGGCGTCCAGCCCATAGCTGACACTCAGTGGGCCTGGGCATATCAGAGTAGGCTTCCTGGAGGAGGTGGTAGAAATGATCTGAGAATGAGGAACCAGGATCAGAGGCAGGGGTCAGAAAGCTACAAGGTGGGGTGCATTTCCCCAGGAGTCAGGGGAGGAAGGGAGAAGTGTGGTCTCAAAGACACTCAGTCGCTCAAAGACACTCGGAAGCCTCAAATGACAAGATGAGGACTTGAGAAGCAGGGTGGGCTGCTCCTTCAGGCAGGGAGAGCAGAGGTCAGACCAAGAAAGGGCAGCTACACCAGGCTCCCGGTTCAGTACAGTGCTTAGCCCAGTGACCAACTCACTGGGGAGACTGGGCTCGGAGAGACCAGCAGCAGGGCTGGACCCCAGGCCGAAGGCGCTGGCTCCCAAGGAGAAGGGGTTGAAGAAAGATGGAGGTCTCTTCTGCTGAGGCCCACAGATGGTAGGAGCCTCGGTGGGCCTGGCCCAGGCCCGATAGTCCACGGATGCCGTTCTCCCCTGCAGGGCCCTCTGCGCCTACGTGGTGCACAGAAATGTGACCTGTGTCCTACAGGAGGGAGCAGAGAGCTACATAAAGGCTGAGTACCGGCAGTGTGGATGGGGGCCCAAGTGCCCCGGGACAGTCACGTGAGTGCACCCCCCTCCCACCCACTTGGGATCCCTGGGCACACGCCCCACCCACCCTGGCCTGCCTTCAGCTGAGAGCAGCAGCCAGCTCTACAAGGGCTGTAACTCCTTGACTTCAGAGAGCCTCCCCCAGCCCCCACCCCAGCTGGATGGAGGGGGCCAGGGAGGAGTCAGGGGCAGGTTCAGGGCGGAGCCCACAGGGGGACCAGGGGAGGGTTCCTGGGGGAGAATTAGTACCAGGCAAGGAAGAAGCAGCGTGGGCAAAGGGTGTGGGAGAGCAGAGGGTCACACTGGCATGGTTGATGCCAAAGGGACCCTGGGCAGATTCAAGGAGGTCTGTGCTGACTGGAGAAGATAGGCCAGGGGTGAGGGGAATGGGACAGATGGGGCCATGTGAGGACGTGTGGTGTTGCACACAGGTGGGATGCAATGGTCTGTACTTGGAGAGGTTCAAATGCAGGTGTGAAAACAAACCTGTTGGCTGCAATGTGTCAGTGGGTGAACGGGTACAGGTACACTGCTGAACAGGTGAGGGAGTGGCCCCTGTGCTGCCTTCCACCCTGGGCCTTCCTGCCTGTGCTCAAAATCAAAGGTGGCCTGTCACTAGCCTCTGCCATCAGAGCCGAGTTCTCGGAGTAGGCTAGGGAGAAGTGGAAAGGACTAAGGGGAGCTGATGGGAGCCCAGGGTGGCCCCCAGGCAGTGAGAGGGACTGCCTGCCCCAGCTCCAGGGCAGTACTCCTCACCCACCCACAGGGGAGGGGCTGGGGCTTTGTCAGAATTCTTCAAAGTACCACCAAAGCCAGAGTAGAATTTCTGATAGCAGTATAAGCTCAAGGGGGTCCAAGTGATCTTGGGAGCCTTGGGGCCACATTCCTGCTTGCCTTCTCCCCAGGCAAACAGGAGGGGGTGGCTTCTTCCTGCACCCTCCCCTAACCCATCTGTGAGCCTTGGCAAGGCCTACTTCTACCCTCTGGCCCTGTCACCTTAAGCACAGAAGAAGGAAACCCCTGGGGATGCCGTGGAGGTGGGAAGACATCTAGACTGTATCCAAGTGTCTTGAGAGTGGCCCTAAACACCAGCCAGGGGACAAGGTCACCTGCCAGGAGGCAGGTACCTCAGCCCACAGGTACAGGACCCTGCCCTCTCCCCATCCCTGTCCCAGGTACCGCACAGTGCTCAGACCCAAATACAAGGTTGGCTACAAGATTGTGACAGAGCTCTCCTGGCGTTGCTGCCCTGGGCTCACTGGACAAGGCTGCCCTGAGCACCTCACGGACCCCGGGGCCACCCCGCCCCATTCAGAGCCTGAGTCCCAGATTCCCTCTGGGCAGCTGGGCCCAGGCCCCAGGCTCCCTCCTTCCAGCAGAGCGGCGCCCAGCCCCTACGGTGAGTCTGCCCATGGAGACCCTACCAAGGTAGCTGGGTTTCTTGGGGGTAGGGATGTGGGAGAAGGACTGATTCAGGCTGGCTGAGCTTGGGCAGGGCTGGGGAGGGTGCATTTCATGCTAGGCAGAAGGGTGAGTCCCCGGGACCCCTCCAAAAGCTGGTGGAACTATGCCCAGCGAGGTTGACTTAGAACAGAAAATCTCTCAGGTGGCCGGGCAACAGGACAAGCTGAGAGAGCCCAACCAACGACACCCCTGGGGTTCCCTCCTTCTCTTTCCCAGGAAGGAAAGGCCCAGGGCTGTTTGGTGAGCGGCTGGAACGCCTGGAGGGTGATGTCCAGCGCCTGGCACAGGCATATGGTACCCTCAGCGGCCTGGTGACCAGCCACGAGGACCCCAACAGGATTACTGGTGGCCCCAGAGCTCCTGCTGCCCCTGTGGGCTTTGAGGTCATCCCCGAGGGGTTTGGGAACCCTGGAGACAGAGCTGGAAGGCCGCTTACACCTCCCCTGGACGAGATCTTGAGCAAGGTGACAGAGGTGAGCAACACGCTCCAGACCAAGGTGCGGCTGCTGGACGAGGTCCACGGGCTGGCCCTCGGCCATGAGGCCCACCTGCAGCAGCTGCGGGAGGCCCCGCCATCTCCACTCACCTCCCTGGCCCTGTTGGATGAATACGTGGACCGACGGCTGCACCGACTCTGGGGGAGCCTGTTGGATGGCTTCGAGCAGAAGCTGCAAGACGTCCAGAGCACGTGTGACCTGCGGGTGCAGGAGGTTCGGCAGCAGTGTGAGGAGGGCCAGGCAGCCAGCCGAAGGCTGCACCAGAGCCTGGATGGCCGGGAGCTGGCCCTGCGCCGGGAGCTCTCACAGCTGGGTACCCGGCTGCAAGGCCTAAGCGTGGCTGGCAGTGGGAGCTGCTGCAGCCAGCTGGCCTTGGTCAGTGCCCGCATGGACAGCCTCGAGAGGAACCTGCAGGCAGTCACCGAGGCCCAAAGGGGCCATGGCCCCACCTCCAGGGATGAGCTCACACGGCTCTCTGCTGCCATGCTCGACGGGGGTGTGGATGGACTTCTTGAGGGCCTGGAGACCCTCAATGGGACGGAGAATGGCGTGAGGGGCTGCTGTCTAGGGATGAAGGAGGGGGGATGGGGCGTGGGCAGCTTCAGGACCCTGCTGGAAGAGCGTGTGCAGAGCCTAGAGGAGCGCCTGGTGACACTGGCTGGGGAGCTAAGCCATGACAGCTCTCCACCAGGCAGGCTGGCATGGCCCCTGGTGCAGACAGAGCTGGCTGTGCTGGAGCAACGGCTGGTTTCGCTGGAGACCTCATGCACCCCCAGCACCACCTCAGCCATCCTGGACAACCTCATGGCAGAGGTGAAGGCCTGGCAGAGACAGATCGAGGCCCTTCTACACCAGGTAGCCAGCCACGCGGCCTTGCTCCGGCAGCTCAATGGCACCATGGCCAAGGTCCAGGGGCAGCTGGCAGGAGCGACGGGCAACTCACTCCAGGGCGAGATCACCCTGCTCAAGGTCAATCTGAACTCCGTGAGCAAGTCACTCACAGGCCTCAGTGACTCCGTCAGCCAGTACTCTGATGCCTTCTTGGCCGCCAACACATCCCTGGATGAGCGGGAACGCAAGGTGGAGGCTGAGGTCCACGCCATCCAGGAGCAAGTCAGCAGCCAGGGCTCGCGGCTTCGAGCTGGCCACAGGCAGGTCCTGAGCCTGCGGGGCGAGCTGGAGCAGCTCAAGGCCGGTGTGGCTGGTGTGGCCGGCGGGCTGAACCGCTGCCAGGACATAGCCCAGGAACTCCAGCACACAATGGGCCACTTCGACCAGCGGGTAGCACAAGTGGAGGGTGCGTGCAGGAAGCTGGGCCTGATGGCTGCAGATCTGGGCAGCTTGCCCACCGAGTCACTCAGGCCCAGGGAGGGTCTGTGGGACCACATGGACCAGCTGAATCGCACACTGGCCCAGCACGCACAGGACATCGCCCGCCTCCAGGATGATCTGTTGGACTGCCGGGCCCAGCTGGCCGAGCAGGCGCGGTCAGGGCAGGCCGACTAGGTGGGCCAGGCCAGAACCCAACCCCAGATCCCACCAACCCTGGGGACATCACCCCAGAGCTCAGACCATGCCTCCCAGCCACCCCTGGCTAGCGCGGATGCCAGAGGCCCTTGAAGGAACAGTCTTGGTCCAGCTCCACGACTGTCCCCAGGCTCATCCACGCTCAGTGCTGCACCAACTGGACAACTCAGGATAGCCGTCAAGGCAAGTACGTCGTGCCTGCAGGCCAGGATGGACCTAAGAGACTTCACAACCCAGTCTGCAGATTGCTCTTCTGGGGACACACGAGTTGGCAGCTGTGCAAAGACCTGCAGAGCCATTGACAGTGGCCTGTCCACATCCGGGGCAGCAGGCCCCAGCCCGCGGAGGCTTCTGGTTCCTTTGTCCCCTTAGCTCCTGTCCCCAGGATTCTGGGCTTGGTTTCTGCAGGAAGGTGGTGCCCACTGGCACTGCCCTCACACCTTGCAGCTTCACGGATGCTGTTTCTGAACCAAGGACCAGAGGTTTCCACCTCCCCACAGGTCCCTCAGGGTGGAAGAGAAACACAAAGACTCAGCCAAGAGTTATCTTTATTCCTTCTGATTCTCCCCCAAGGTGACGGTTTAGGCAGCTGTAGATTCCTGAGGAGGATTGGGTCTAGGTGGTCTGTTCAGAGACCCCCACTTTAATTTATCTCAAAACATTCTTCCCGAAAGATGTTTTGAGGGTACTCTGGTTTGCACACAGTCCTCTCCTTTCCATTTGGGGAGGGGGGCAGAATCTCCCCCTCTCTGCCCCCAGGTTAGGGCCTCTCTCCAGAGAGCAGCCTTCCTTGTCCGTCATGGCCTGAATGAGGTCGGACCCTGGGCAAGAGGCCACAGCTGGAGGGAGAGGGCTCCAGGCCCAGTTTCCACCATCCCTGTAAACCCAGCCCCGCCTGGATGTCCAGTTCACAAAGTCCTGAGAAGTTCAGGTATGACACCACGAAGGGACAACCTGAAAACACGTGTTCAGCCTGCACAGTTCCCAGAGACCCTGATGCCTGTCTCCTCGGGCCTCAGTTTCCCCACAGCAGCACAAGCCCTCCTGTGCTATGTAGCCCTGCCTCCTGGTTTCTCAACATTTGGTATCTGACCCTCCTCTGTGGTGCTACTGGGGAAGGGCAGACCTGGATTAAAGCTTCTAGCCCATCTAAAGGTCTTTTCTTCCCTGAAGACGGTGAGAGGTAAGGCTGCCGTGGGATGCTTCCCACAGCTCCTCGTGCAAAAGCTCACTCAGCAGCTGTGTTGGCACTGAGCTGACCAGCAAAGGCTACGGGAGGGCAGACCAACCCCCACCTGCCTGGCAGGGTTTGGGGCTGTGTCCCCAGGGGAGGTGCCGGGAGGAGCAGGAGCAGCTGCTGGGGGCAGGTTAGGCCAAGTGGAAGCCACACTCCCTCGGTCCTTGCGCTGCCCTGGGCTCCCCCTTTCCTGATGTCAGAGGACACTGGAGCATCTGGGCTTGGGACGTGCTGCGATGTCTGGCTCAAGGGCTGTGGGAAGGGGCCGGGGCTATGTAAGGGTCTGGCCTCAGAGGGCACAGACAGTCCAGGCTCCCGGAAGGGGGCGGGGGAGCACTGTGTTCTTCCCAGATGCTATTCAAGTACTCCCCACGGCTGCCACCAACCTTGCCTGTGCGTCCAACTCTCAAGCCTCCGTGGGGCCTCTCTATCCTCTCCGTCCTAATCAGGAGTTGAGGCAAAGTCTCAGGGTGATGGGGCCCAGGGGACAATCATTTCATGGCTACCGGCCGGGGCCATGATGAGGCCTGGAGCAGCTGCCCCGCCCCTCTGCAGCTCAGCTGGCAGGAGACAGAACAGGACTGGGAGGAGAGAGGCTGCCAACCAGCCCACAGCGCCCCTCCTCCCCATTGGGTTGGCCCTGTGGCACCCAGCCTCCAACCCTCTTATGCCCTGGGATGCCTAGTCAGTTCTGGGCCAGGCCACGGAGGAGGGCACAGCCTGGACCGGTTCAGGCCAGGGCATCAAGGTCCACAGAGGTCAGTGGCTCCCGCCAATAGCAAAAGTTGCTGTATTCAGGGTTGGCCAGATCTGCGCTGGGGCCACGGGCCACAGGTGGGAAGAGGAGCTCAACCACCTCACCGAGCCGCTCGTATCTGTGGGCAGAAAAGGGTCAGCACTGAGAGCCCGAGCTGCCACCGGGCCACAGCCTCTGCCACATCAGGCAGAGACTCTGCACACGGCCTGGGAGCCCTGGGCCAGGAGGAGGGTCCCTGGTAAGGAGGTGGCATTGGGGCCCAGGGGACAGGGACGTGGGAGACATGTGGCGGGGTTTGGCCTCACGTGGATTTGTGGTTCTTCATGGGCTCCTGGGTGAGCTCTCCTCGGGGGTTGACTGTGAAGATGCGAGATTCGGGTAGGCCCACCTGTCGGTAGGCAGTGATATCCTGTGGGGGACAAGAAGGGGCCGCTGGGCTGGGAAGTGGGGAGGAGGTGGCTCAGCTCTCGGGGACGGGAGGGGACATACTCACGTTGGGCCTGTTCCCAAAGGCAGCATAGAAGGGCTGGCCGTGGAAGAGCTGCTGGATGTCGCTCAGGCAGGCGATCTTGAACACCTCTGGCTTCTTCTCAATCACCTCCCTGGGGAGCGGGGGTGGGGCAGCAATCAGAGGCCGGCAGGGTCCGCTGACACAGGCCTGGTGCTGGCCTGGCCTGGCTGGAGGTGGGCTTGCGCTCCCCCCGGGGGCTGTGGGCGCCTGTGGTGTAGGGGCGTTACCTGTGCAGGGCAGCGAAGAGGCTGCTGGGAGACAGCAGGATGGGGCCCTTGGGGAGGCCACAGCCACGCTCGCTCACCCACCGCAGGTACCCCTTGGTGAGGTCAGCCATGCCGATGGCCCGTGCCGAGCAGTACAGGAACTTGTACCCATTTCTGAGGGTGGCACAGAGCCATCAGGGACCAGCCATGCCCCATCCCACCCTCTTGGCTTTAGCCAGCTCATCTCAATCCTGAGGTTCTGGCCTCCCCAAGCCCAGAGGCTTTTGCAGGGAGGGGACTTAGAAACAGCTGGGCCAGGTCTGCAAGGTGGCTGCAGTAGCTGTCCCAGGTAGGAGCACGGACAGAGTCCTGAGGCCCAGGTGGACCAGGACGGACAAAGGTTTGAGCAAGTCCGTAGACTTCCACTACAGCATGAAGACCAGCAGTCAGATCCGCCCGCCTCTCCCCCACCAGGGCCTCAGGAGATGAGTCTTCCACAGGAGAACCGAGGCCCAGCAGGTAGGTCTTAGCACTCCAGGGACATGCCCTGGCTTCTTCCCTTGGGGACTCTGCGGGCCCCTAAGCCTGGCTTCCCAGGGCTGAGGCCAGGGTGGCTTAAGATGTCCTGTCACTCCCTCCCTGGGGCCCTGCCCTAGCCCCGGCACTCACAGGTGGATTTTGTGGTAGAGACTCGTGATGCCCTGGTGTGTCCAGTCTTTCCCCAGCTGGGGCAGAATGTGGCCCAGAGTGTCCGACCTAGAGCCCAAAGGAGGAGTCACTCCAAGGCAGCCCCATGTGGCCCTCATGTTCCCTGCATAAGGCCCACTGGGGCCCAGCCCCAAAACGGTGCACTGGGAGGGCCTCTCTCCCTCACTCCTCCCCCACTGTCCCCCCAGAACAGAGGGAGAGGAGCTTCCAGGACTGCCCTCTTTTCCCCTGGCCAACCAGGCCTCACTTGGTGATGGTGCCATCGATGTCCGAGATGACCACCTTGTCGTCCCATTTCCACAGGTAGATGGTGGCCCTGCAGCGGCAGGTGCCCTGGTACTGGGTTGTCACACTGAAGACCACATCATTGGCACCTTCTTGCAGGTTCAGCCGCCGCTGGGGCCAGACAAAGGGGGTGAGCTCTGATCTGCGAGAGCCAGGCACGATCCACCCCCTGCCGCCCCAAACTGTGGCCTTCGATCTCCCAGGCCTCGTATTCTCCTCTCCTGTCCAACTCAGCGAACCTGCTAGAACTCATCAGAGACAGGCACACAGACACACGCACATGGGCAGAGGGTGGTCACAAGGAGGAAGTGAGGGAGTGCTCGTGGTGCCCAGCACAGGAGCCCTAACCTTTCATGCTCCTTTGGGGTGAAGTTCAAGGAAAGCCTGGCCCACGGCTCCCAGTCAAGTTTCTCAGGTCAGCCCCAAGGCCGGCATTGCTCTTGGCAGGGGACACCCCTCTCCACAGACGGGGCCCTGAGGGGATCCCCACGGGTGGCCCCCTGCCTGAGGCTAGGGTACCTGTGATATCCCCCTAAAGAGAGACCGAGCTCTGTCCTTGGTGCAGAGAAGGATTAGGGCAGCTCTCAGTCACAGCTGGTGACCAAGGCTTCCAGGAGCTGGCTGACGAGAGTTGTGTGTGAGCCCCAGGGTACCACAAAGATGGCAGCTTCTCTGTACCAGGCCGGCCAAGTCACCCCGAGGCAACTCCCTGACCACAGAGTCACACTCAGGGAGAAAACATTCGTATTACAGGAACCACCAGTTAACTGAGCTTTAAAATATGACTTGGGGGCCTGGGGTTGCCCAAATCTGAAGGGCTGTCATCGGCATTTGATTCCTTTAGCGTGCCTTCCAAAGGCAGATCCAGAGCCAGGTGACCCACTGCAGGTAGGTCTTTTAGGATGGCAAAGAGGGCTTTTCCAGTGATAGCATCTAACAGAGAAATGGGCTGGCATGTAAGAAAGTGAGCCCCTTGTCCCTGGAGGTATTCAAGCAGAGGCTGTTAGGAAGGCTGCCAAGGAGATAGATGCTGCGCTTTAGTGAATGCGGCTTTGTGGAGCCATTCCTTAGCCAGGCCCTGTGGGGCCCTGGGACAGAGTTATCACAGCCCCACCACCCCTATACAAACACGAGTGCACACACTTACGATCTGATCGGAGGAGAGGCGGAGGGACTTCTTGTAGGTAGGAGTGTAGGCTGAAGGTGAGGGTGGCAGGGAGGACGCCTCAAGGATCACAGGGCTGTCTGGGGCGTCATCCTCGCTGCTCAGGACATCAGTCTTGTCCCTGTGGGCAGCCCGGCTCTCAGACCACCCCAGCTGAAGGCCCTGCACTCCCGGTAGATGCTCACTCCTCAGGCCAGACCACCAGGGGCTCGGGGCCTGTCCCTGCCCCTCTGGAGACTACCTAGGGGATCAGAAACCCCTCCCTCTAGGTGCCACCCACTTTGGGGTGGTAGCAGCAGAATAAGGATGCAGGCTGGCAGTCTGCACCCAGAAAGGTGACAGCAGAGCTAGAGCTGAGGGCCTGGGCTCTCAGCCCTCAGTGCCTCACCATAGCTAGGGTGCCAGGTGCCTGCCTTGGAGAGATTTACCTGAAAAACCTAGTGTGGGTTTTAGGGTTTGTTTCCAACGCCACCTGCTTTAGTTGAATCATCCTTAGTCACCCTCCCGCCCAACCTTGGGCGTTCAGGGTCACTTCAAAGGTAAAAAAGGGAGCAAGATCAGCTGGCCTCTGGCGGAGAGGGGAGGCCCTGCCCCTCCTTAATACAGTAGCCCCTTGTCTGGGCTGGGAGTCTGGGCACCCGTTCCAGCTCTGCTATTTCCCGGCTGTGAGACCTTCGATGTATCTCTAAGTCTCAGTTTTCCCATCTGTGACATGGGGGCATTTCTCAGGAAAAAGAGAAGTGATTGGGGAGTGACCAAGAACCATGGCTGGGGGAGGGGTGCAGGCTCCCTCCCTGTCCCCCAGGCGATCCTTCCCTTCCCAGGCTCCAGCTTCAGCCAGGAGAGCAACTCACCCCACTGGCTCCCCGGCTGGGGTCTTCTCCCTCTGGGCATTGCGCTGTGGGAAGAACATCCACCCAGTGAAGCCTGGCTCCTGCCTGTGCTGGCCCCGCCCTGTGACTGTGACCACCCACCTCCTCGGCTGAGAAATCCCTGCGTCGCCAGGAAAACCACCACCGCCCACCCTTCCGGGGCATCTTCTCCTTCTCCAGCTTGTCCACGGTGCTCTGTGGGCAGATGAAGGTCATGGCATTCTCCCCTGCACTACACAAACCCACCGTTGATTGCCCTTGGGGGTCACACTGAGCCTAGAGTCTGGGGCTGACCCTCGAGCAAGGTGCCGCCAACATCAATTCTGGGATTCACGGAGCTACCTACGCAGAGGAGACCAAGGGCCACTTCTGTCTGTCCCCACTCCACCCCAGCCCTGACCCCCTACCTCTAGCCCAACCTCGGCCTGGCCTCCAAATAGTGTGGGTCAGTCTTTCTACTAGAGGCACTGCTTTGGGAGTTTCTCAAGATCTGGTACTCCCTGCACGATGCCACCAAGTGGCAGCAGGAAGGACAGTCTATAGTCAGTACTGCCCTCAATCTCCAAGACCAACACAAGCAACTCCTGAGGTCAGTGATTCTATCCCACGAACAGCCTCCTTCTCTGTATCTTACCGTCACTGTCTGGTGGAGGCACCATGACCTTGTGAAAACTACTGACTAGAGTTGTGCTAGATAACTCCAGTGAGGGCCCAGGCCAACCTGGGAGACACATCAGCTTCCTACAAACACAGAAATGTACACCCAGGTCAGGGGGACATGGGCTGGGGATGGGTTGGCCAGAGTGCCCACTTGAGCTGGGAACAGGCTGAGGGAGTCTCCCAGGGGCCTCAGTGGTGGGTCTGTCTGGGTAAAGGTGAGGAGAGCCAAGCAGGAGAGGGACCCTGTCCCTTCCCACAGGCTGTGGTCCTAGCTCAGACCCAGAGCCAGCCAGAGAACTGAGCTGACCATCACCAACGGGAGACATCAGCTGTCACCATCTGGTTACTGATGTTCTTCGGGCAATTCTAACCAAGTGGAGAACAGACCAGGGCAGGGCCCTGGTCCACTCCCAGGGGCAGATGCAGGTTAGACAAGGTGGAGGTTCTGGGAGGGACTGACGAGTCTGGGTTCCTGCCCACCTCTGAGCACCTGCACATGCTGTTCCCACCCCTCACTTGCTTAAGGTTTCCTCATCCTTCCAATTTCTGCCCAGTGGGCTCTTGCTCAGCAAACGTCCCTGTTGTAGGCTCTCACAGCACCCCAGACCTCTCCTTTCTAATACTCACAGTTGAATTTTACATTCATCTGGCAGAATCTTTAATTAACTGTCTTTCTAGGAAGGTATGACTGTCCCTGGCACACAGTAGGTACACAAAAAATATGTGCTGATAAAGCGAGCAAGCCCCTGCAGCCCAGCCTGGAGAGGGGTCTCCCGGTGAGGATGGGAGCTCCATCTCCCAAGCCTCGTCACTCAGATCCAAAACCTCTTGCTGAAGGCGTGACCCTGTCAAATGTTTGTCCCCCTCTGGTTTGTCCTGTGCTCCTCTGAAGTCAAGTCCAAAGCCAACAGGATTCAGCCATGCCAGGAAACCAGGGAAGGGTGGACCTCTGTCCCCACAGCCTGGGTGAGGCTTCAGGGGCCCTCAGTCTCATCTCCCAGAGTGGGTCTTGCAGCCAGTCAGCCCCAGGCCCATCTCCGCCCACGCTCCACTTCCTGGCCACGGGCCTCCCTACCTACCACAAGGCTACGGCTTCTTTCCCCAGGAGGCCCAGTGGCGCGCTAACCATTACCTTGGGCAAGTTCTTTTGGAAGGCTTGCAGGGAGAGGATCATGGGGGCAGCTACAGCCCAGTTATAATGCCTGGGGAGACAGAATAGGGGGTCAGGGCTACAGCAGCTACAGAGCCATGACAGCAGGGGTAGGGGGGTGACCCTCTGGGGCCGCCAGCAGCCCAGCCTCGCTACTTACTTTTCATTGATTTTCACCACCAGGTTCTGGTCTTCCAGGAGGCCAGGGTTTTTGGTGAGGTCCTGGTAGGAGACGATGTGCTTGTTGAACTTCTCTGGGCACAGAGGCAGAGAGTGAGGGTGAGGCTGACACATCCCACATGACCCTGCCTCCCCTGCACTCTATCAATCACTCAGGCCTCCTGCAGGTTGGGTCTTTGACTAGCCGGTTCCTCCCTCCCTGGGGTTTTTGCCTCTGCTGTTTCCACCCCAGGCACTGGCGCTTCTGGATTCACAGGATCACTCAAACTTAGTACCAAGCATTTGCTTCCTGGGGCCTTGGGAACTGCCCTGCCCTTGCTGGCTGAATGTGGGCTCCACAGGGCAGAGGCTGGCAGGGGCCCTCTGGGGTCCTCCCTGCCCTCCCCAGCCCCGAGGCTCACTGCCAATCCTCAGAAGGGCCAAACATACCCCGGGAAATGTCCCGGCTGTCAGCCAGTCCACCGCAGAGAGAGAGCACTATGGTGTCCACTGTATCCGGAGTGGGTTCTAGCTTCTGTTTGGGGTTGGGGTCCCCCAGGGGCTTGCGGTTGCCGGGTTCACTCCACCTCCTGGGCCCCAGCCCACAGTCACTTGGGGCAAAAGGACCAACAGTTACATGAGTACAAGGCGGCTGGGAGGAGGGGGCTCACCTCTCCCAGGCCCTCGGTAGCCAACCCCTGGTCCCACGGGTTCTGATCCCAAGACACCCCGGCACCCAGAACCCAGGCACCTCTGGGGGAAGTAAAGGGCTGCATTCTCAGAGTCCAGAGAGGGCAAGTCATCCAGGTAGATGTCACTGGGGCCCAGGTGCTGGCTTCTCTTCAGGGAGCCTGAGGGCAGAGGAGGGGGACACCTGTAGACCTAACATGTGCTCAGCAGTGTGAGCAGTACGTGTCCCCCTTGCCTCTGAATACCCTGAAGTAGCGCTGTCCAGTAGACTTTCTACGATGATAGAAACGTCCTATGTCTGCAGGCCCAATCCAGGAGCCAATAGCCACAGGTGGCTGTCAGCACACTTCACATGTGGTGTGATAGAGAAATGGAAATTTCAATTAAAATGGAAATTTAACTGTAATTGATTTTAAATAGCCACATGTAGCCAGTGACTACTGATTTGGGCGGTGCAGGCCTCGTGCCTTTCCCACATTCTTAGGATAAAGCCCTACTCGTGAGCCGGGAAGGTCCAGCTTCTCTCATTAACTCGGCTTCGTTTCCCAGCCCTCTCCCCCGCCTCGCTCAAGACACACCAGCTGCCTCAATTCCTAGACACGAAACCCCTCTCCTTCCTCATGGCTTTGACACATGCTGTTCCTTCTGCCTAGAATTCTCTTCCCCTGATCCTCATTGGCTGCCTCTTCATCGTTGACGCCTCAGCTCAAATATCACCCACTCAGACCACCCAGGGACCACCCTATCACGTTCTTCCTGGTTGACGCGTGTGTGTCATCTGTCTGCCCCACTGGCCTGGGACCCTCATGCAGGCTGCTGCCAAACACAGTACCTGGCACACAGTAGGTGTTCAAAATGTGCTTGAAGTCACAGAATCCACCCAGGTGGTAACATGCGGCCAGGCAAGCACAGGGGGCCATCCAGCCATCACTCACCTTTACTCCTGGAGGACTCCTCGGGCTGCTGGGTGGGAGCTGGACCCTCCAGAGAGGCCCAGCTCCATGATTTCAAGGCAGGAAGGTGACCCTCATCCCTGGACCTCTGAGTCTTGGTTTTCTCGCTCTCAGAGATGGGAAGAGGGGGGTCCGCCGGAGCAGGCACCTCCATGTCAGGCTGAAGAAGGTCAGTGCCAGCCCCTGTGTGCAGGGTTCCGGAAGGGTCCACGCCAGCCACAGAGGCTGCCCCAGTGCTGCCATCAGGGACCGTCAAGAATGCGGGCCACTCAGCTTTGGCCACCTCCATTCAAACAAAGGGGGGAAGATGTGGGCCAGTGCAGAGTCTGCTTCCCACACCCCACAAGGCTTTGGGGAGGTGGCCCAAGTCACTGGGAGGTGACCCACAGGGGCCACAGAGCCCCTGAAAGGCAGGGATGGGGGGCTGACACGGGGAACTCACCTTAGGCAGCCTTCCCCAGGCCCACTGCATGTGGGCCTCAGCTCTCAGCGGGCTGGGCTCGGGGGTCCGCACCTCCAGCTCCGAGTCACTTTTAGGGGATGTTAGCCCACCTGACGAGGGGCTGCAGGAAACAAGAACTCAGAGGCCCCCCGAGCCAGCCTGCCACCCCCCTACTGCCCACCCTAGCCTGGGAAAAAATATTTGTAACACATAGTTATGCCTGTGTTGGAGCAAGAATATATAAATATATAAAGAATGCCAACAAATCAACAATAAGAAGGAAGTCCAGTAAAAGAAAAAAAAATGACCAAGGTTGATACTCCTTAATGGGAAAGGGTTTCCATTTGGGGTGATGAGAAAGTTCTGGAACTAGCTAGAGGTTGTACTAGATGGTGGTGCAACACTGTGAATATACTAAATGCCCCTGAATTGCATACTTTCAAATGGTTAAAGTGGTAAACGTGTTATGTGCATTTTACCAGTTTTTAAAAATGGGCAAAAGACTTGAATGAACCCTTTACGAAGGAGGTATACAAATGGCTGGTAAACGCATTAAAAGTGTTCTAAGTCATTATGCAGCAGAGAAATGGAAACCATTCTGAGACCTTGGCCTTGAGTCCCTGCCGGCTGCCCACCTGGACTCTCACCTGGCCTGCGGGGACCACTCTCCGTCGGAGTAGGGATAGATGTCTTTGGGCTGCGGCGAGGACTCCCCTTCTGATGGGACACTGCTGAGGGGCCACAGGGAAATAAAGGGTCACTGAGAGCACAGGGTACTCTGGGTAAGGCATGGGAGCTGGACCTCAGGGACTTAGGGAGGTGAAGCAGGTAAAGCCCAGAGAGGTCAAGGCCCTTGCCCAGGGTCACACAGCACCAGCAGAAGAAACTGTGCTTAGAGCCCGGTTGGCATCCTCACACCCATTGGTCCCCACCTGGTCCCTGCACACCCTGGGGACTCTCGCCTTGGCTTTTCCAGCAGGGACAGCTCGCTCTCAGCGCCTGCCTCCAGCTCCTCAGAACTAGAATCGGCTGCCACCGTGTCCTCCTTCCGCCTGGGTTTCCTCCTACGGAGCCTCTTCTTCCGCCCCGTGGAGGGCACACCCATGATGATGGGCTCAGCTTCACTGGCTGTACCCAGCTGGGAGTCCGAGGGGAACCCAGACAGGCCTCCCCACGGGATGGGTGATGTGCACAGACGGGGAGGCACATGTTCCTGAGGAGCAGACCAGGGGCAGGACTGAGGGCCTACAGTTTATGGGGGCTGCTCTTGTCCCCCCGTTACTCTGAGCCCTGGAGTGAGCTCATTTGGGGTCCGGCAAACAGGCATGGAGGATGGACAGAGGCGGCAGCAGCATGGCCTTGTAGCTGCTGCTGGCCTCAGAGCTCCATCACAGAGATGAGGCAGACCAGGCAGAAACCTGGTCATCAGCTTATCTTCTGTCCACACCTACCACAGTAGACACCCACTTCCATTTTAAGACTCACCCGGGCATCACCTCCTCCAGGAAGTTTGCCTTGACTACTCTCAGCCTCAGTTCCAACCCCCTTCACTGCAATGAACAGAGTTTTATCATCTGCTGTTTATGTGTCTATCTCCCAGGCTAGTCTGGGAATCTTCTTTGAAGGCAGATTGTCTGCCTTCACAGTGTCTGCCATAAAGTAGGGAGGGACTCAGAGTTTGTCAAACTCAAACTATTGGGTCGTCGGGAAAGTCATGACATATCTTTCTATGTTTTTCAATGCAAAAATGCGTCATGACTTTCCCGACGCCCCAATATTTAAACACCTCTGCTGGCTCGTGCTGGGCCTGCCTCCCATCTATAAACACCCCTCTCTTCACCCTGCACCCACACACTTCCATGTTCCAGCGGCACTGATCCGGCCCCAGATCCAGAACAAGCCATCTTATGCCTTCCAGCCGCCAGCCATTCCTCAGCACCCTCTCCCTCTCCAAGCTGCCCAAGGAAGGCCTCCTTTCTACCCTAAAGGGGACCAGCTCAAGTGTCCTCTTCTGAGAAACCGTCCCCAATTCCAACCAGGTTCTACTAGCATATCATGAGTTCCAGCACCCACCCATCCCCCGCATCAGACCCTTGATGATGCGGTATTCCCAACGGTGAGGACAGTGCCAAACCCAATGGCCCCACCCATAGAGGGCACTAGGGCAGGGGCAGGGGCAGGTGGTATCAAGGACAGAAGCACTTACCTCATCACTCTCCAGTTCCTGGACGAAGAAGGCCTCCCCGCTGTCCCCCAGCTTCATGTGCAAGTCCACCGGCTCCCCGTTGATTTCGATGTCTACCTGTAATGGGGTGTGATGGGGCAGGGGACGCGTGGTCCCCGCCGTTGGCTTCACTCACTGCCATGCTCCAGTCGACTGGCCTCCCAGCTGGTCCTGGACACAGGGGCTCCCAGCTGCCCCTGAGCCCTGTACTTGCTAGAACTCTCTCCTTGAGACCTTGACATGCCTGGCTGCTCCCCACTCAGAGGGTCTCTGCTTCTTCAGAGGGTTCCCCTTCCTCAGAGAGGCTCCAAGCCCCCCGACATTTCCCCATTCTCGGGGCTCAGCTGCACGTGTCCTGGTCATGTTATTCTTGTTTATGCCTTGGTTTCTGTGTCCCTCTCTCTCCCACACCCCATAAGGACAAGGACCCGATTCATCTTGTCACTGTTGTGTCCCCAGCCCCGGGATACTGCTCAGACATTTTTTGAGTACACCAACAATGGTAAGAATCGCCATCTCCTAGGCACTTAGTATAGTGTTTAATCTACACTAGGCTGATGAACCTTCACAACAAGCTGCTGCAGTCCTATCATTATCCTCCCTTTATAGGTGACGAAACAGGCTCAGAGGGCTAAGTAATTTGCTGGGAGGTAGCCAAACGAGGCTACAAACCCAGAACGTCTGAGCCTACAACCCAAGCTCTTAAGCACTTAGCCATACTGTCTCTCACAAGGTTACGCTTTCCTATTAGGATTCCAGAAAGCTCACCTCACTGTGAGAGGGATTTGGGGCCCCTGAACCTCTTTGGACACACGGGGCCTTGGTGTAAACAAAACTGTCACGTCCACCCAAGTCCCGTGAGGCAGTGCAGGTTCCCTAAGGGACAGGAGCTAACCTTTGAGCAAGCCTGGCCCTCGGATGGTGTTATCAGCTCCTATTTAATCACCAGGCAGAGGGGAGCGTATCCATTTGCACAGGTGAAATGATTTAACAGGAACACACAGGCAGTAAGGTCTTAGCAAGCTGGAGCCAGGTCTGATTGCTCCAGCACCAGGGACTGCCCCACTATGCTGCTTCCAGGGGAACACAGAAACCCTCTTGGACCCAAACCCCCAAACCAAACCAAACCCTTCAAAGGAAATACAGAAGAGAAGCCTGCTCAGAGAACAGGTCCCCACCTAAGGAGGGCCCAGGTTCTCTCCTGGCACAGCAGTGGCTGCCCCGGCTACAAAGACCCCCCCACCCCCCCGGGCATTGGGCCCTTGGCCAGCCGCCAGCACTCACCACCTTCTCCCGCGACCGCAGGACGCCCAGCTTGCCGAAGCGCACATGGAAGGGCGAGCAGCGGAAGGAGCCGTCCGCCTGCTTCACCACCAGCACGTCAATCCCACCGCTCAACGTGGCCGGGTTCAGGCCCTGGTACAGCTCCTTCATCGTCTCATATACCGTCCCCGCCAGCTGCCCCACATAGTTCATGGCTGGGGCTGGCGAAGGGAAGCGGTGCTGGGACCAAGGCCTGGTCCCCCTTCCTCTGTGGGGAGGCTCTGCAGCCTGACCCCCAGGTCCCCAGGCTTACCCCTGGAACACCTTTGAACACAGGTAGCAGTCTCAGGATGGGAGGTATGCCGGTAGATGTGGGGTCTAGCTGTGGCTCACCCCCCGACCAGCTGTGGCACTCCTGGGCAGCTGCCTCCCTTCTCCAGGTGCCGATCCCCACATCTGTGAAATGAGGGCACTGGATAAGGAGACTGGGGGGTGCTTTGAGCCTCTAACTGCCATGAGTCAACAGAGCTGAGTGGCACAGCCAATCATTTTGTCTTCACAACAACTCGCGAGGCTGGTCGAGTGGGTGTCATTATTCCTGTTTACAGTCACGCCAGCTGAGGCTCAGAGAGGTGGAGTGGCTTGCCCAGGATCTTACAACTAGTAAAGAGAGGATTCGAACCCAGGTCTGTGTGGCTGCAGAACCCTACGTGTGAACCACAGGGATGGCTCAACTGTGGGAACAGCAGGAAGTAGGCACCCCTCACTGGGGTCAATGAGGGGCAGCCTCATGACATATCAGGCCCTGGACCCACTGGGTGAACCCCAAAGGCTGATATCTTCCCAGGGAGTGGGGAGGAGGGAGTCTCAGTTTTTCCATCTGAGAAGTGGGCTCAGATGTCTTGCTGCCTCCTGGTCCTAGGAGTTGGAAGGGGTCTTGCTGGTCCATCATGGCTGATTTGTGGGGAGCCAGAGGTGGGGGTGCCCCAGGTACCTAAGGCTCTGCCCAGCTCTATTCCTGGGGTCAGAGGCTCGAGGTAGGGCATCCCCTACAGCTGCAGGTGGAGGGAGCTCCCAGTTGAAGGCCCCAAACTCCAAAGTGCTTCCTCAGTTTCCCTGGGAGGATGGGAAGTGTGTCTGTGGCCCACAGCTGACCCCAGTGTCTCTAGGCCATAGTTCTCAGCCCTGACCCCCACTCCTCAGACCCACATTCAGGCTTTGGCCTGGCTCTCGGTGCGTCAAAGCTGTTCCGCCTTCCCACAGCCAGACCGGTCCCTCCGGCTTTCCCATACCAGGCACAGCGAGGTGAGCCATCGCAGGAGGCCGTGGCAGCCGTGGAGAAGGGCCCGGGCTATCATGCGAGCCACCGCCACACTGGCATGGTGCCTGCCTGCCAGCTTGCTCATCACCCTCCCCGCTGGCTGCCAGGACCCAGGCCCTCCCACCTCTGCAGGGCACTTCGCCCTCTCAGACCCTGCATCAGAACCCCTGGAGGACGAGCTGCCATGTAAGACTATCCCTCAAAGATGTTAAGTGGCTTATCCAAACTCTATTAAGCTAAGAGGCCATGGGGTGAGGGGAGAGACTGATGACTCATATCCTGGTTTCCTGACTCCTTCACCATGGTTCCTTCTACTCCTCGGTCCCCAAACCACACCACAGTTGTCTGCAGAGAGGGCAGCCCAGCCCACAGCCCCCCTCTGCACAGCCCTGTAAGGCCTTGCCCCCTCAAATTGTGGTCCATGCCCAGAAGCACCAGTGTCACCTGGGAGCTTATTAGAAATGTGGGGCTTCACACACATAAGCTACAATTTGAATTGCTAAAATGAAAACTGGGATAAAATGAAGCTTTTTTGGACTCCAAATATGTCACTCAAATTTAAATATTTTATCTGCAAGGCACCTACCCTGTGCTGGGTGAAAATTTCCATTTTGGTTTCTCCGTGCCTAACACCAATGTCTGAATATAGATCTGGAGACAGACAGACTGACAGGGACAGACACGTAGTGGGCAGGGCTCTAGACCTCTGTGCCCAGGAAAAGCAGAGAGGACTTTAGAAGCTTCCAGGAATAAAGGAGCAAGCATGGGAGGGGCAGACCAGGGTAGGGGCAAAGGTCTGCCCAGCTGGAGGCCCAAGCGGAGCTATCTGCCCAGCTGAGGGCAAAAGAGCTTGGTGTGTGTGTCTGTGACATGCTCAGCTCAACATAGCGCAGGGTTTCCCAACGTTGAAACCGCTGACGTTTGGGGCTGGGTAAGACTTTGGTATGTAGGACGTTCAGCAGCATCCCTGGTCTCTACCCACTAGACGCCAACAGTACCCCGCCTCCAGTTGTGACAATCAAATTGTCTCCAAACATTGACATAACTGGCCCTGGTTGAGAGCTACTGAGGTAGCAGAAAGAGATGACTGGCAGAGATGGCACCCAGGGAGTCCTGGGTCCTTCTCTCATCCACTCATGGAGTGTCCTCAGACAAGTACCTTGCTGGCCTCAGTTTCCCTTCTATGAAACCAGTTCTCAAAATTTCAAACCTTTCTCAGCCTAGAATTCATTCCTTTCCCTGTTCCCACCACCCCATGAGTAGATGTCCCTACATCTGCCTGCTCAGCATTGGGGGTGGCGGGGACTCCTGTGAGCCAGGCCTTGGGCTCCCCTCCTCTACCTGTCCCCATACCTGAAGGCATCTGCGCTCCCCAGGACCCAGCTCTGCCTCTTTGGCCCTCTCCAGGTGAAGGGAGGCTCTGCTTGGCTCTCCTATGCCAGCCTGCAACCCAAACTAACACGTCTAAAATCAAACACTTCATCTCCCCCACCCCCGAAACCTAGTCAGCTGAATTCCTCTCGAGATTCATGGGTAACCCCCTCCAAGCCCTCTGAAACCTATTCCCAATTTCCTGCTCATCTGACCCCCTCCTTTCTCTTCCTACTGGCCTAGGTCAAGGCTTTATAACTGGATGCCTAGCTCCTGGGTGGCAACAGGACACTGTGGGTAAGGTACCAGACTGGGTTCTAATCCCCTCCCTGACACTTACTAGTTGTTGCCTTGGACAAGTCACTTTCACCTCTTTGAGCCTCAGGTTCAGCCTCTGAAATGAGGATAACATAAGGGATGCATGAGTAATTAATTACATAATTCATATAAAGCACAAGCACAAATTCAGTGCCCATATATGTCACCTATCAGTAGTAGCAACTTTTCTGGCATCGTGACAGCCCCACCCACCCAGGCTGGTCCTGATGATACTATAGGTCAGACTCCAACGCACTGTCCCAGCCTGCAGTTGAGAGTTTAGACTTCTTAACTTGGCATTCAAAGCCCTGCACAATGGTGGCCCCACTGTGTGCAAAGTGAGCAGGTGGGCTCCAGGCAGGCTCCACAGGGGGCCCAAGCCTCAGAGTCCACTCTGGGAACATCCACAGCCCTCCCAGGCCAGCACACAGCTCCACCACAGGGAAGCCAGAACAAGCTGCTTTGGGTGGGAGCTTTCAGCCTTTCAGAAGGGGTGGGGGCGGGGCTCTCCACCTAGGACCAGAGGGAGCAGGAGGATAAGCATCCCTACAGCTCTGGAAGGGAGAAAACCAGCCCCAGCTCCCCAGCGGCTTTCCCAGCTGCCCCATCCGACCTGGCTAGTCTCAAAGCGAGCCTGACAAGGGTTAGGTCCGGCTTTGCAACTGAAGATACTCAGTACTAAAGAGGATGGCTGTGTCCTCCCCCAAGGTCAGACAGTCAGCCTGGGGTGACACTGGGCCAGCCTCCCCTCAGAGGTTTTTGAATCTTGTTATCTCCTGATCCCACGTGCTGTATGTCCGGGGGTCTCCCCCCCCCCGCAGCCTCTGGGCCGGATACAAGGAGGAAGTGAGGTCCTCCACCCCTGAGTTCCCTTCTGATGGCTAGAGATGGATTGGATTCAAGCCCGCCAACAGGAAAGAACGGGGGTCGGGTATAGCACACGGATGGACCCAGCAAAGCGGGACAGGGAGAGGGGTACCTCTTCTCAGGCCCGGGTTGGGCCCTACCTGGGGAGCTGCCCACTGGACCTCCGGGACCGGAGCCGCCGCCTCTACCTGAGCGCACAGGGTCAGCAGGTAAGCGTCCTTGGCCCCGCCCTCAATTGGCGCTTCCTGCTCCTCTAGGACTGGGTGAGATCCCAGCTCCGCCCCTCCACGAGCCAAGGGCGTCTCCGCAGGCACCAATGCGACCAGGCTCCACCCAACCCCGAAAAGACCCCGCCCCCTCTCAGTCCCCACGCCCAAGGCTGTCCTTTCACCTATAGAGGCTGGGCGGGGCCAGACTTCAGGCTCCACCCCAGTCCTTTCCCGCACCCCGGAGCTGCTAGATAGAATGTGCGCGTGGCCCGCCACCTGACCCACTGCCAGGAGAGGCGGAAAAGCGGGGACCAAGGTACTCCTGGCTTTGCTTCCAGCTCGCTATGTGACTTTGGGTAAGTTTTCCCCGATCTGAGCCCGTTTTCTGCTTTGTCAAAGGGGATTAGGTGGCTTATCCCATTTGTCAAAACCACCTTGCAGGATTTTCGATATTACATGAAGTGACGCTCAAACGTCCCCTCCTCTGGGGCAGCTTTCCCTGACCCCACNCCCAGGTGGAGTTGCAGGATCCAAGGACACTATGTCATAGTCTGGGCTTAAGAAGTGGGGCTGAGGAAGCAATGCTTGCCCTGTCCCTCCTCTGCGGGCACCAGCCATGCTGCCGGCCCTGCCCTGCTAGCCCTGGCCTCTGCCACACACGAGGAAGCCAGGCTCAGGGCTGCGGGCCCGGGTTGCTTTTCCCTTGCATGTTTCTTTTCCCTGCTGATGTGGCTAGGGCCACTGGGGTCTCTTCTTCCGGCCTCTCAGGGACAAGCCCTGGACGTGGTCAGGGATCTCTAGGCTGGAGGGCAGGCGGCTTCTGCTGCTATATCCCCCACCCACCAGACTGGACAGGACCCTCATATCATATGCTTCATATTTGCTTGAATGTATGATTATTGTCAGCCTCCTCATTTGAATTTGAACTCCGTGAGAGTAAGTCGCGTTCATTCTTACATCCTAGCGCCAAGTTCAGTGCCTGACACAAAGGAGGAGAGCAGTAACTGCCGCTATCCTTCATTCCATCTATCCGACGCACTGGTGGAGCGGCAGCCGTCTTAATACCGTCACTGGCCAGCAGAGGGCAGGTGGTGACCAGCCTTCTTGCCCAGCTGAGCAACCTCTCCGCCCGCAGGCGCCATGGGACTGGGACAGGTGAGCCCAGGTGCGCGCACTTCTAAAAAGATCAGTCGGCCAGCGAGCCACGGGGCCAAACTCGGGCCAGATCCTTTTGGATCTGTGGTTCGCGGCCTGTCCTGTATCAAAAACCTTTCCGACAGCCTGTGAGGATGCACGGGCCCCTGCAAAGAAGGTGTGCTGAGAAGGCTCAGGAGGTGAGGGAATTTGCTGTAAAGAGGGAAGGCTTGGAGGGATGGGGTGCAATGGCAAAGAGCCAGACTTAGAAAGTACTGGGCGGTGGGGAGTGAGAGGTGACCGCCATTGCTCCGTGACCCAAGATGACAGGACCTGGTTGGAACCTCAGTTGGCTTTGCTTTAGCAAAAAATATCAGTCCTGAACCCAGGCAGTGTCTGGCTGGTATCTCAGAAGAGAGCCCTGTTGGGAGCAGAGCTATCTCAAAGTGGCCAGAGGGCAGCACCAGGCTGCAAACATGTCTGTGGAAGTATTATACATAACTATTCTATATAACAGTGAAACACTTGGAAACATGGGGAATCCCTCCTGCGAGCCTGGGAAGGAAGGAAGGAAGGAAGCGAGGGAGGGAGGAAGGAATTGTTTTCGTGGTTACTTGTTAGAGAAAAAGAAGTTGATATAAAAGTTGTCGCAGAAATTGGATTTCGGACAGGCTTATTTCTGGAACTATGAATCATCTGAGATTTGGTGATTATGGGGGGGGGCGGAGACAGGGGCAGCTTCTGGTAGTATAAGTTGTCCCGACACCCAACTGGGGTGAACGAGGTGAGGCCCACTCTGGTCTAGCTTATGGTTTGCATCACCATCTCCAACGCGTCCCTTGAGCTTGCATGTAGCGTGGGTGCTTGTGTTTGCCCATTTCTGGGGCTAAGGATGGAGGCTATTTTCTCCTCTCGATGGGTACACTCACCAGGCAGACCTATACCACTGGCAACTGTTTGTTTCTTGATTAATCCACGGGTGTAGGTAGCACTTCCTTCTTTATGGACCTAGATAGGCTTCTGTGCTCCATTAAGTCACAGACCCAGGGATTGTTTACTGTGTCTCCTTTCTTGCTGGCACCTATGCCTGCAGCTGTGACCACTTGTCATGGGCAGCAAGACTGGCTGTGGGAACCACAGCTCTTCAACCACTCGTGTTGGCTGCATTGAAAGTGGAAAGGAAGACAAAGGAACCTGGGGCTCGCTCTTTCCAGCACGCAGGCTTGGGGGTTGAGGGGTGGGTGTTTGGTAGCTGGCTAGGGCTGTCAGATGTAGCAAATAAAAATAAAGGATGCCCAGTTAAATCTGAATTTCAGATAAACAACATCAGGTGTTGTGTGTGTGTGTGTGTGTGCGTGTGTGTGCCCGCGCGCGTGCGTGCGTGTGTGCGCACGCGCGCGTTCACGCATCTGTCCCATGCAATATTTGGGAGACACTTTACTGAAAAAATTATTTGTTTATCTGAAATTCAAATGTAACCAACTATCCTTTATTTTTATTTGCTGAATCTGGCACCCCAGTGCTTGGCCAGCAAGCCAAGGAGAACCCAGCACATGGGATGTGCTCCCGGCAACGGCCTCCTGCCCAGTGTTGCCACATTCAGCTTCCACCTGTCACTGCCCTGCTCCAGAACCGTGTGTGGCTCCCAGCTGCTTCCATAGCACAACTTGGACTCCCTGGCTACTGTGCTAGGCCTTGGCTCTTCTGTCAGCCCAGCTGCCCTGGTTGGGCCCTTTCCCGCCTCTGCTCTTGCGTTCCCTGCTTGGCATGTGTCCTGCCCACTCCCAGTAGCAATTGCAAGCACTTATTGGGCACCTACTGGGTGCAGGCATGTTCCTGAGTTCTTCATTTGCGTTGTTTCATTGGATTCTCACCAAACCTAGTACGGTAGGGACAGCACTTATCCCAGCTTACCAATGAAGAAACGGATGCTCGAAGTCAGTGGTTCTTTCTTTGTTTAAAACTTTTATTGGGGAACAGTGTGTTTTTTCAGGACCCATAAGCTCCAAGTCAAGTAGTTGTTTCATTCTAGTTGTGGAGGGCGCAGCTCCGTGGCCCACGTGGGAATCGAGCCAGCAACCTTGGTGTTACGAGCCTGTGCTCTAACGAACTGAGCTAACCGGCCACCTTGAGACAGTGATTCTTAAAGTTGGTCCCTGGGCTAGTAGCAGCAGCAACTCCTGGGAACTTGTTAGAAATGCAAAACCCTCAGGCCTCACTCCAGACCTACTGAATCAGAAACTCGGGGGTGGGCCCAGCCATCTGTATTTCATAGCCCCATCCCCACCCCAACCAGGTGATTCTGGTGCATGCTCGAGTTTGAGACCTGCTGTTCTAAGAGATGAAGTGACTGCAGGTATAGAGGACCACCTATAAACAGACAGGATGTTTATGATCTCATCGAGCACCATGCCTGGGGCCAGGCCCTGGAGACGCTGCAGCAACAGCACAGTCTTAGAGGGGGGAGCGGAGGAAGAAGGGAAAGAAAGAGAAGAATACACAGGCCACTGTGATGTAAGATGGTGAGGGCTGAGTTGGGCCAAGCCCTGAAGCCCGTAGCAGGATGTGAGGGGCTCAAGGACAGCTTTCCCTAGGTGGATATCGAAGCCTGAAAAATAATATAGAATGTGTTAGGTGAAGAAGGGTGGGAACAGTGTTCCAGGTGTCGGGACTAGTTTGTACAAAGGTCCTGGGGGTCGTTCACTCTTGAGGATAGAAGGTGAGGCAAGTTGAGGGGGGGACAGGGGAGGAATCTGATTGTGCCAGAGTCCTCTGCCCTCAGAGCAAAGGAAGAAGTTTTAATGAGCATTGAGAAAAAGCCCTCTGGCTTCCAGGTAGAGCAGGCACTAGGGAAGATAGTGGGTGGTGGCAAGGAGAGACCCAGGTGGTGCCAGGCCTTCCCCAACCCCTGGATCCAGGCTGCTTGTGCCCGCCAAGGCATCTACAGAGATTCAACCCTGTATCAGAGCAGTGGGCAGGTGCGTGGGTCCCAGGTGGAGTTGCAGGATCCAAGGACACTATGTCATAGTCTGGGCTTAAGAAGTGGGGCTGAGGAAGCAATGCTTGCCCTGTCCCTCCTCTGCGGGCACCAGCCATGCTGCCAGCCCTGCCCTGCTAGCCCTGGCCTCTGCCACACACGAGGAAGCCAGGCTCAGGGCTGCGGGCCCGGGTTGCTTTTCCCTTGCATGTTTCTTTTCCCTGCTGATGTGGCTAAGGCCACTGGGGTCTCTTCTTCCGGCCTCTCAGGGACAAGCCCTGGACGTGGTCAGGGATCTCTAGGCTGGAGGGCAGGCGACTTCTGCTGCTATATCCCCTATTCCTGCCAACGAAGCCTTTGGTGCCAGCCAAAAACTGAGCCGGCCATGCCAGGTTGCCTGGCAGCATGGGTTTCGGCTGGGCAGTTCCCGGTTCCAACTGTCCTTCCCGGAAAAATGTCAGTTTGACCGAATCCTTTTGGAATCTGCTTGCGATGTCTAGCCTAGGGAAGAATACTGAAGGATCATTAAGCGTTTGTATGAAGTGGAGCTTTCTGTGTGTCTAAAATCCCTGCCAGACTTACCAACTGCCCCATGAACGTGACCTTCAGCAAAGGGACCTCCTATTCTTCCCCTTTTTATCTGCTCCCCACCCTCCATCTGGCATCCAGGACCCTGTCTCATGCTTCGCAATTCAAGGAGGGTCTAGCACGGTGCCCTCCACTTAAATAGACGTTCAGAAATATTGCTTAGGGGAGATCAGTTTATGCTCAGCCTTCAATTATTGTATTGATAGATGGAGTATATATGGGATGGGCCGGGGCAGTCTAAGTGGATGGAAGCGGTTGAATGAAGGCATGGATACTGGAGAGAGAAAGTGAGTGCAAGGAGATAGGCTGTCTGGCCTGAAATATGGGGCAAAACCATGGGCATTGAGGAACAATTGATGGTTGTTGAGCAGGAGAGTGACACAATATTGCTCGTCATTGTACTGGATTCTTTGTAAATGTTACTTACATGTACTGTCTGGCCCATGTTGTTCTCCACTCCTCCTGTCCGTATAGTTAATGCCAGCTCATTTTTTAGATCCCAGCTCCATTGTTACTTCCTCAGGGAAGCCTTCGGTGGTAGACAGACTCTAAAGTGGCCCCCCTCTATCCCTGCCTCCTGGTGTTCATGCCTTTGTATGCCTTTGTGTATGTAACGCCTTCTTCTTGAATGTGGGTGGGACCTGTGACTTGATTTTAGCCAATAGAATATGGCAGAGGTGTTGGGCTGTCACTCCCGTGATTATGTTATATCATACGCGGTCTGACAATTAAGTTCACGAGCTTGTTGCAACACTGTTGCTGACCTTTTTTGATATCAGAGGGATTATTTATTATGAATTTGTACCAACTGGACAGTTAATCAAGTTTACTATTTGGAAGTGCTGAAAAGGCTGTGTGAAAAAGTTAGACAACCTGAACTTTTTGCCAACAATTCATGGCTCTTGCATCACTACAATGCACCAGCTAACAAGGCACTGTCTGTGAGGGAGTTTTTAGCCAGTCAACAAATAACTGTATTGGAACACACTCCATACTCACCTGATCTGGCCCCCAATCACTTCTTTCTTTACCCAAAGATAAAGAAAATTTTGAAAGGAAGACATTTTGATGACATTCAGGACATCAAGGGTGATACAACGACAGCTCTGATGTCCATTCCAGAAAAAGAGTTCCAAAATTGCTTTGAAGGGTGGACTAGGCACTGGCATTGGTGCATAGGTTCCCAAGGGGAGCACTTTGAAGGTGACTGTAGTGATATTCAGCAATGAGGTATGTAGCACTTTTTCTAGGATGAGTTCGCAAACTTAATTGCCAGGCTGCATTTAAGAGTCTTGCTAGCAGACTAGCTCTGGAGACTTGCCTTGCTGACTTGATGAAGTAAACAGCCATGTTGAGGAAACCCACATGGCAAGGAGCTATGGGTGGTATCTAGGAATTGTGCAGCCTCCAAGAAGCCACAGTCCTTAGTCCTATAGTCATAAGGAAATGAATCCTG